ACAAAAACTTTTATTTTGGATGCGATTAATCGTTTGACCGCACTATATTCATATATATTACTATACACATGCTACACAATACAGGCTTTAAATACTACACTATACAATATGTAACTGCTACAAATCCATACACAAATGCTGGGGTCCCATCAGGGTTAGAGAATACCCATGCTGTATGGCATTTGTTCAGCAGATGGAGCAGCTGATATCAGGTCAAGCTTGCAGTACCTCATGACACTGTTTTCACGCAAGCTCTTCAACGACAGCCTCCCACCAGTGGTCTTAAAACACCAGCTCTACAGTTTACACAACGACAAAACCGCAGTGGACAAGCAGGTGGTAAGATCAGATTGTTTTAGGCCTACCTACAAATATTCATCTTGGCCAAGTGTGCCAGATCGTTTTATAATAACCGTAACGCATTCCGAAGCTCTGGTCTTCTCTCTTCCTCGTCAGAATGAGTTGAGGGAAAACGGCGAGCTGTTGATGTTCCAGCTGGGGTTCGACTCCGAGGCCTTCGCTTTAGTGTTTGCAGAAGATTACAGAGCCAAAGTCCTGCAGGGGGAAGCTGGCAGAGGAACGCTGGGAACTGTAGAGAAATTTCTGGCCAAACTAATTCCCAGCTGCTCCGATTTGAGTTTCAACAAGGAGAAAATGCTTAAAGAGTTCCTCTTTACAGACTCTGAGATAACGTAAGGATAAGGACACAAATGTTCATATGTTTTTCACTGTCTCTGGTGCTTATTTGAAGATGCTTTTGGATGCAGGCAGCTGGTGAAATCGGGCGTCCTCACCGTGAGGGATGCGGGCAGCTGGTGGCTTTCAATCCCAAACTCTGGCAAATTCATTAAGTACTTCATTAAGGGTGGGTTTTTAACGTTAAGACACACATGCAGTGGGTTTCCATTTGGTACGGTTTAATATCTGGTCTTTTTTTTCCAACAGGACGCAAAGCTGTTCTCGGCATGGTCAAGAAATCCAAATACGGTGAAATCCTCAAGACGGAATTGGAGGGACGCCGCACAACTTCGCAGGTCAAATTCCAGATGAAGTATCACATTCATGAAATAATCGGAGCAGAGTTAGTGGAATGGTAAGGCTGCTGTATCGTTGAATAGATTTGTATATTTGAATAGAGTTGTAATTGCGAGGACAAGGTCAGATGTCTGAAATGTGATCTTTTTTATATCCATTTGTAGCATACAGACAACATCAGGGACATTATTACGACACGTGGACGGAAACGACAACTAACAGCTCCACTCTCTCGACTTGAACTGCACAACATAGTGAATAAAAGGTTGCCAAACTTCACTTCAGTGTCAAATTCCTCGCTGTCTTTGGCCTCAACACTCAGGATAGCCATTAATTAAGGGTTTGAGACTGTTTGTTCTTATGTTGCTGGCGCCAGTCATGTGGCAAGTTTGCAAATCACACACTTTTGGGGGTCCTGCACCAACCGTACATTCTAATCAAGTGTGACGTGATATATGTGGCCAAGTATGGTTACCCATACTAGGAATTAGTGCTCT